TGTGACCTGTCGAAACGCCAGTGGTAGGTAGATTGTCGTAGGTCACAGCTTAGAAGGGAATCGAACTGTAGACCTGTAGGGTAGGAGTCTAGACAGTTCCGAAGTCGTAGCTGTAGGATGTCTGAAGGGTCAAGGTCGTAGCTGCTACTTACCTGAAAGGGCAAAGTCGTAGCTGCTACAGTACCGAAAGGCCAAAGTAGAAGTTTCTAGAACTGGCCTTTCGGAGTCAGCCCCTGTGCAAGTGGGCAAGTGGTGTAGGTCCACTACGTAGAGTCAGCAGTCCCAGGTAGTCCAGTCCGGTCCAGTCAAGCAAGTACCGTCTGGGACTGTGCACATCGTGGGCCAAGGGATACAGGGCAGACCAACGCCGCACAGAAGTATAAATCAAGAGGCTGCGTCCAGCCATTCATTCATTCCTGCGGATGCCATGTGGAAGCGCTGCCTCAGCAGCTTGTGCGAGGAGGTCTGCAGTGTGCCCGAAGACGAAGAGGGCAGTGAAGTGTAGTGTAGCGATAGGATAGTGGCAGCCATAGCTGCCATAGCTATAGTAGCGTGTGTGTGTGTGTGTGTGTGTGTTGCGTGTAGAGTGCTGCGTGTGGGACATCCAGGGTGATCCAGAGTGCGAACAGTGAGTTGTGTGGGCGCTCAGTCGCCATAGCCAGTTTGAAGGGAACTCCTACCTGGTTACGATATCTTTGAGTACTGTGTGGGCGCATGTCGCCAGTTTGCTGTTTCACTGTTTGCATGCATGACAAGTGTGAAGAGGTCGAGTCTGATTGCATATTCCTAAAAGTCCCGGTTGCCAACTCTGATCCTGAGCCCTTCAGAAAGCTTCGCCCTCTCCCACCAGCATGCTCCCAAGGAAGAATGTCAACTCTCAAGATAGAGCACACTCGACTCTAAGAATGTCAACTCTCAAGATAGAGCACACTCGACTCTTCACAATGCGAGGACTCTCAAAGACTGGATACACTTCCTCGTGGTAAAAAGCATTGAGGAGGGTAGATAGTGGAACTACTCTTATGGAGGAATGGTGTTTCACAAGGGAAGGTTTGATGAGGAATGCGCCGAATTTCATATCAGCACACGAAAAAAAAGCATTAAGAAATGTGAAAGGATGCAAGCAAATGGTGAAGTGGGTTCTCAGCGGATTTCAAACCTGGGGGGGGGTTGCGAACGTGAGGCCGCAAGGCCCACTGATGGACAGAGGTCCCGTAGGTCCTAGAATCACTGGACATGGGAAGGCCTAGGCCAAGGTGACACAGAAAAGGTCAAGGGCCTGGCTGAATTTGGAAAGCCCTGGGCCCTTCCAACTAGCCACAGGCATCTGCAGGCCAGTTCACATTTGTCAGAACCCTGGCTTCAGGGTACTAGGCCAGGGCTGCCAGCGGCATTCAGTCTGGCTGGCTGCCCGTTGTGAGGGTGCTTAAACCACCAGTACATGCTGTACAACGGCCGCGGGCCCCTTTCGCTACTGATGGTTTTTTATCAACGGCGTGCCGGACTTTTCGGACCAGGCAATGAGTTTCTTTTTGCCAGGCTGGGTCTGTGTACTGGCAGTTTAAGAAATGCTAAGAGAAGTGGCAGCAGTGAGGCACAGCTAGGCACTGAGAGTGAGTGAGAGATCAATAAGCAAGAGAAGAGGAAGTCGGTCCTTGGGGAGAGGAGGAGAGTTGTAGAAGATAGACAGGCTTACCCAGTTGGTCAAGATGGGAATTTCACCAACGCACTCTTTCTTCTTCTTTTTTTAATATACAAACAGGTCCTTATGGTCCTGGCTCCAAATCCATTCTAAGAAGCGTCAGTTCGGTTCCTATTCCACTGGCAAGTCAAAAAGGTCAATCACGTCATTCACCCACACACGCATCCTTCCGTTCGGTTGAAGGATCTCTGACCAGCATTGATTAGTCCAGTTACCGGAGGATTGACCGTCAGCTTGCCTTCCTTGGTAATTTTCCTCGCACATTCTTATTTGTAGAACCCGTCAACTAAACATGATCGCAAGAAAAACAGAAGACAAAACTGAACTGGAGCACCAAGTTGTTCTTCTGGAGTCTTGTGGCTCTGGATGACGAGTATTCCTTTAGTTGAAATGGAATGTGCCAGTCCTTCCACCTGAGATGAGGTCCGTGGAACTCACCTATCCTGCCTCCAGCCAGCCAGGTTCTCTTGAATTTGGCAAGGAGTTCCTGCTGTTTGTCCAAACGGCTTTGGATTCGGGAACAGCAACGCACTTTCTTTGATTTGATCTCTCTGGAAGCAACACTGCGCTGAGCAGCATGGACAACATGCAGCAATGACTAGACAAAGCTAGTGTAGGGTTAGAACAAGGCACGGTGGTCACAGAGGCTGACCAGAGAGGACGAGAACGACATTGTTTGTGAGATTTGTTGTTTTTGTTGATGGGTGTCAGTCGTTTCTTCATCGAAAGACTTCATATTGCTGTTAATTCTGCTCATTGCTTTGCCACTGAGTCTATGTCAGTGAACAACATTGTTCGCGAGCTTTGTTGTTTTTGTTGCTGATGGGAGCTTTGTTGTTTTTGTTGCTGATGGGTGTAGGGTGAAGGGAGTTGTTTCTTCATCAAAAGACTTCATATTGCTGTTAATTCTTCTCGTTGCTTCACCACTGATTCGATGTCAGTTCATCAAAGCACAATGTGCTTGTGATTGTGTGCGGTATCCTTGCACTAGTGCATAGCATCAGCCCTGCCGCCCAACAGTAAGCACAACTACTTATTTCGGCCATCATGCTCCGGGGTGACTTGGTGAATGTAAGCGAATATAGACTATTATAGAGCCCAAAGGCGCAGTGAGGTTGAAATCTTCGCACTTACACCTGCATAAAGGCATATAATCTGAGCCCAAACTTATTCCAGGGTGGCGAGAAGGAATAGGTAAATGAATGTAGAGCCCAAAGACGCAGTGATGCAATGACTTGCTGCTTCTGCAGCCTGCTACCCGTCGACCCGAGACTGTAACATAGGTAGGTTAGATTTGTAATTTTGTTTGGCTGACGGCTAACCGAGAGACCTGCTTGCAAGGAACAATTGTGAGGGACATATCTGTAAATACGGGAAAATGCAGGCCCATACTAACTGAATTTCCTACAGCTACCCTAACTGCGAATAGCAGGCCCAGGCTACCCCTAGGACAGACAGGCCCTAAAGGCCTATGCTGATAGACGGTACTATAGCCTATAGCCGGGTAGGTAGAGGCCGAGAGGCCGAAAATGGAAATTGTACCGGTCGGTCCAGTCAGGCTGGTCTAGGTCGTGTCTAGGCTAGTTTAGTCTATAGATAGATTGTGGACATCTGTTCAGGGCCGTTGGCAGTTGGTACTGTGTACATCGCGGCTGTGCAACGTGGAAACTGGAAGTGGTGACAGCTTCAGGGTTGGAGAAGACAGACATAGCTGGACCTGCGGAGTGTCGGCCATAGCTGGGACCGACGCTAGACTCTGACAGCACGTGGGGCTGTTCAGAGGTCTGAGCTATCTGGCTGCTGGAGGCGAGAAAAGTTGGTGCCCTGCTGAACCCTCCTCAGGAGTAGGGTTTCAGTGTGTTGGCGCTGCAGCCATAGCTGCAGATTTCTCCCTCAGAGAGCATCTTTGTCAGGAGAGGTGGCGCCGCTGCAGACTTCCACCCGGGAAGTCATCTGGCACTTCATCATCATCAGACCCAGTGGCGCTGGTCTTCTTCTTCATCCTCTGAGAGGAGCTTGGCCTCAGAGGCCTATTTCAGGGTGGCGCTTCCCTCTGGAGGCAGTATCTGGGGGGCGCTTGATGTTACAGGTGCTCAGGGGTAGTTCTGGCGGTTACTCAAGGTTGGAGAGTGAAGCGCTGCTCATTTCTGAGCAGTGCACCATGGTTCTGAGGTTCTTCTGACATTTTGAGACTCTGAGTTTAATAAACAGTGTTGATACTGTGTGCAGACTATCTTTGCTTCAATGTTTCCTGGATGTGATCTACTCGGCTTTCCTTTGTGACTGGTTGTGAGGATTCTGTGGAGTGAATTGCACTTCCAGTGCTCTCTGTCATATCGCATGGTCAAGTCTTCCACTGTGTTTATCTCTCCCTGTGCGGTGTGATACTCCCATCCTCTCCCCTTCCTTCCGTGCATGTATGGGCGTACCTGGAAGTCTATGTGAGTGAGTGTTGGCCTTCTGACGCAAACAACCAGGTTTATAACAGTGAGGTTGCAACCTTACCACGTACGCCTGCATAACTCACAAAAAGTTGAGCCCAAAGATACAGTGAGGTGGCAATCATAGCATATATGCCTGCATAAATAGCATACAACTGACCTCCAGTAAGATCAGAAACTATGGAACCCGGGAATCGAGTGCTATCTGTCAGAAGCTCGGTGAAAGACAAAAGCGATTATTAACCCTCAAGGAATAAGGCGCACAGAAAGCGGCATGCAAGCCTCATTGAGCTAAGTGAGCTGAGTGCATTCACAGCACAAAAGTCAATGCCAGTATGCACTTCAAAACATACCGATGACATGACAAAATACTTGATGAAAGAGTGTGGGCACTGCAGGGCAACCCATTCCACAGAAGCTCATGGGACACCACTCAAATGCAATTAGTGGCCACGAGTAACACGTTCACAGATGCTGCCAACAGACACTATCAGCACGGCAAATACAGGCCACTCAACATCATCTGCATCATGTAAAAACCACTGTCACTGTGCTTCACAAGTTGTTGTCATACTTCGCATATTCCGCTCACAACCCATATTATAGGCCAATAACGGCTTGAATTCTGCAAACCCATATTATAGGCCAATAACGGCTTGAATTCTGCAAACCCATACTATAGGCCAGCAAAGGCTTGAACTCTGCAAACCACATCCCACCGGTGCATCTTCCGTTCCAAACACCTGACGCAAGAGAAATCAAATTCACCCAGCCCAGACGTCACAGGTATAGTGGTGCCACTTCCTCAGCTCACTAACAAAACACCATATGAACAGGCATTGCCATGACATAACACCAGAATCTGCTCAAGTTTACTCAAGTCCTCGATCCACCATTCTTATCGCAGACGCTGAAACTGTTCCAAACACGGTTTCTCTACCATCGCTCATTCCTCATGGTCCATTTTTTGCCAACTTCACCGTCAAGGTCTCCTGGGTCCTCCGCCATCTGCTATTTTAGAGGCCCAATACAAACATGGTTTTTCTACGGTCTCCCACTCCTCAGCTCCACTGTTTGCCAACTTCATCACCATGGTCTGCCCACTCCTCTGCCATCTGCTTTGTTGCAGACCAATGTGACACGGCTTTGACGAGCTGAACCGCCAATGATCATTGAGATGGGAACCTCCTCTGGGGATGTACTCTGTTGTCATGCGCTCGATTTGAGGAAAAGGTTATGATGATGCCATCACCACAAGAACAATCTCATACTCACCATCGTACAGAAATCTCAAGGGAAGCCAGAGGCACATCCACCAGACTCTGAATTGTTTGAATGGGGACGCACTGATTGTTGGCTATCAAGTGAATTCTGGTGACAGAAAGTGGTAAGCCCGGGCCGCACTATGCCTACCAACAAGCTAGGGCTGGGAACACAAGAAAGTACTCACTGCTATGAGTGAATTCTGAGAAGGCAAAGTGGCAACTTTGGCAGTATTCCACCAACAAGCAAGAACAGGGTTCTTTTGAACAAAAGCTAAGCCGGATTAGTGGCACAAAAGAAAGCAAGCATGCCACTCAAGGCATGCCAGCAAAGCAATTCAGCAAACGACCATGCCACAACTTGCACAAGACCTTTCAGACGTGCCAGGGTAAAATGTCACTGCAACACATTCATTTACTTTGCACATGATGTTAGATGCCACCGCTCATGAAGGACTTGTGTCAATCTCCTTCCAAAGCAGGACTCACTACATATTGATTCCTCCACTACTCAGGAATTCGAAACATATCTTGCAACACCCCCATCCCTCAGCTACACATGATCGATCCCTTACACAAGTGCATTCTTCATCCACTTTGAGATGGGGAGACTGACTCCTATTAGCGAATTATTGTAGTGAGCTCATCCACAAATGCAGGCACATCACAGACTCCCTCAGTGAAGTCCTCTTTGCTTTTACTGTGTGGAAATTCCAGGTTTATGAGAGTCTCCGTGCCCACCGGCGATTGCAGAGAGATTCTGTCCATGACATCACCAACGGGTAGAGGAAAAGCTTCAAAAACTGGGGATGGAGAAAAATCAACCACAGAACGTGCACGTGCATTAGCACCGAGAACAGTCGTAGATGGAACACAAGCAGTGTACTGTAGATGTAGTAGATAATGCGAACAGCTTCTGAAAAGAAAATGCTGAGAATTTTGGTAACCTGAAGCGCAAGCAAAACAATAAACCCAATGATGCGGACAACGAGCATGAGCTCCGCTAAGTGCAACCGGATAGTGGCTCTAAATATGCACCATAACTGAAACGCAACTTCTGTTGCTGCCGCCGAAGACATGCCTGGAGATATTATTAATTTATCATTCTTCTTGTAGGAATTAGCTGGTCATTGTTTTCAAAGGAATGGCGCGCCAACAACCCTCCATGACTGTCCGAGAAGAAGAATAAGAAGAGCATACACTTTCAGCAAGTACTCTGGATCCACAGTGATACTTGCAGCATTATGCAGCTTATGGCACAGATGGTACTTCTTGTACTGTCAGCTGCAACTCAGGCTGTGCATGAAACGGAGTCCTGTCAAATGTCATCATGACCTCTGCAGTGGAACCTGCATTCTCCCCTGGGGACAAAATACCATGCAACCCTCCACCTGACGTCAAGCGAAAATCCCCAACTGGCACAAGAGAAGCAGCGACAACAATGCCAATGATGTCAGAGCCTGAGGAGAGGACTGACAGCACAAGCCCGTCTACCAAGCACATTATGGTCTCCACCAATCCTTGCTTTATTTCAGTTAGAAATACTGACTCATAACTGACTGTGGACTGGCTCGAAACCATTAACACACTCTTCTTCTCAGACCAGAATCATCATCAGAGAGACACGTGCACCACCACTAACTATCAGAGTCAATCAATCGGTGATAAAGTCAAGCCACTCTGAGAACCACCATCAGTTCGGTAGAATCCCCTTCCCTCACGGCCTAACCTAGCGCCCACCTTGCCATAACAACAGCAGTGCAGAGACAGCTCAAACAGCCCAGTGAGCCAGACATCTCTCAACTCCGGAAAAGGCGGGCAAACAGCTCATCATGAGCTCCCTGCATAAGATCCCAGAGCGGTGCAGTCTGGTGGACATCTGATATTAGTCTGTCCGCGGCCCATGCTAACACCTTCTCTGCTGGCTTTGACAGTTTGTGCTGAAGTCCTGCAGCCTCCAAAGGACCGACGAGGTTCAGTCTTGTTGCCGCTGACAAGATATCTCGCAGCGTCATAAACAAAAAGGCTCTCTGGGCTACCCTTCTTTTCACTCCAAGAGCAGCACACAGCGCACCAAATGCTGCTGCATGGTGCCCAGAAGCAGCCTGATTGGCGCCCACCGATTGGTCATGACTGGCTTCCATTCTTCCAACACCTCCCCTGCACATCCGTCTCATCTCCTTCAACTCCACTAGTTCTGGGAAAGTTGACGACACCAATCGCAACAGTGCACAGCCTTGCGAGCAAGATGCACGCCTCCCCACATGATTTGTGAGATACGCATCCATCAGCTGGTCCACCTCTGCCCAGGTTTTCACCGCATCTGAAAAGTATGTCCCTGGTTCTTCCCCCTTACTTTGTCCAGGACCTTGGAGATTACCTCCAGGTGATTCCCACCATCCTCGGCCTGCAGCGACCACGAAAGGAAGAAACATTGCTCCAGCACTCTCAAGATTGTCTAAACAAAACTCCTCGAGATCTGCAGTTGTTTGGATCAGTCCAGCTTGAGAAGAAGCCTCAAGTCCATAGGAGTTTGTAAAACCTCCAACAGGAAGAAGGGAGTCGAGAAGCTGCCAAAGTGTCCACTCTGTCAAGCCATCATGGTCTATCTGATCGTTTGCCCCCCTTGGTTCCTCTTCCTCAGCATTCCCTTGCGTCTTAAAGTGCAAGAACCCATCCATCTCCTCAAAGAATATGCAGCTGTGCCCTGCATACCAAGGTACCAAATATCGGGCCCACCCAAAATTCAATCCATAATGCATCAGAATGCTACTTCGTTGCCGAGCCGGGCAGACCTGCATGCTTCCACCTGGGTAAACTGGGCAGGTGCAGATTCCAGCAGGAATTCGGGGAAAAGAAAGTTTATTGCTCAGCAGCTCTACGCTTGACATGATCAGCTGGAAAAGGCTTACTGCTCACCAGCTCTATGCTTGGCATGAGCAGTCTGAAAAGGTTTACTGCTCAGCAGCTCTACGCTTCACATGAGCTATAACCTTTTTTCCTTTTTTTTTTATCTAGTAATTAAGGAACATGAGAGATTGCCTACAGCTTCACGGACCTTTCCCTGCGAGGCCTGCCTAGGTGGCACTGTGCAACCCTGTCCATGATTAAGGATCCCAGCGAAGATCAGAAGACTAAACTAAGTACGCTTACCTACACAGGAAAGACACCAGAGAATGTGACAGCAGATGAGGCTCCCATATTTACAGCCTACCTGATGTGAGAGTCTAAAGACTGGACCAGCAGCCTTTTGGCACCAGTCATCATCTGAAAATCCAACCAGGAGCATTCCCAAAGTGTCACGCCATTTAGGACCAATACCCGAGCATTCCCACAGAATTGCGATGGGTCAGCGCGGGTACTACATAAGTGAGTCACACACATAAGGCTGATGTAGATGCAGGCAAGCATCAAGCTTGCCTATGGCCATAACCCAGTCACTCGACGTGACGTTGCCCCCAAAGAGTCCTCGCCAGCCCATAGCAAAGGCAGGGATGGGAAGCTGCCAGCAATCTAGCTAGGCTCATTTCCAGAGCTTTGCAAAAAACTTTGAACTTCACCAATCTCATTAGAACATTCTGGTTCAATTTCTTCATCGATCAGACACATGGGGTGTAGTCTGCAGTCCTTCACGTTGAATAATCAGCACACTTCAGAATGCTGCTAAAAACAATCCAATCAAAACATCAAATAAACAGACTTTGTGCGATATGATCTGAGTTACGATGAATGTCAGACGACCTTAACCAGTTACCTTTTTTTTTTTTAACCCACCACTACCTTCTCAGTGTTGGGAAAAATGGGAATATATGTCACACCGCATTTTTCGGGGGTACCTAAGGGTTGCCCATGTTTGTGTGCATGGTATTGTATGTCCTGTTGGGGTACTTCTGGGTCTCTTTTCCTAATCCTATATGGTCTTGATTATGTGCATGAGCATGTAAACTGCTTTCTCACCTAATGGATGGATGAATGAAGTATGTTGATTTGAGCGGCATATCTTTCTACAGTGCTTTGGATTTTCATTTCTGAACGGCTGTAGTTAGTAGCAGAGAGAGGAGGAGGCGGAGAAGGCTATTAAAAACAATAGGTTCACAGCCCGTGAGGTCGTCTTCCAAACCCTCTCAGGCATGACCAATGAGCAGGCTGAGGAGAAGGTGGTTCCACTCCTCAAAACTCTACTGGAGGTCCGGGCTCTAGATGACTTCGCAGGCCAGATGTCACAGCTGTTAGGTGAAGTCAAAAAGCTGCGGGAGGAATGGCCAGCATGGCACGGAGGCACCTTGCCCAGCTGCAGTAATCTGCAGCAGAGCCAGATTCCTGTCCTCCCTCCTTTGCCCCTTGTTCCTAATGCTGCAAATCAGTCTTTACCAGCCCCTCTCACTCTTTCTTCTTCTTCTGGTTCTTTGAGTGTAGTAAACAGCCAATCGGGACCCGCAGTACGTGCAGACTCCGCTGTTGCTGCAGCAAGTGACAGCGCAGGAAGTTCTAAAACTGCTGCAGCCCAAAGTCTGGACACAGCAGTTGCTGGTCCCAGTTACAGCAGCAGTCCCTATGCGGACAAGAAGGCAGCACATACTCCGCCCAGGTACAACAGGAAAGTGGACATCACGTCGTGGATCAGCTGTAGCTCCAAGCTGCACAGGCAGGCTATAAAAGGATAGACCTGACAAAATGGCTTAAAGCTATGCCAATAGCCACACTTGAAGACCTTCTATTGAAACAGTACGAAGATCCACATGCCGCAGCTAAAGCAAGGATTAAGCTTGACTATGTCAAGCGTGGTAAGTGGTTGGGCACCATGCACAGCCTACAACAGTATCTCAGCGAACTCTTTGCTACTCCCTGGCTTGATATGACTGCACAGTCTTATGTTATGTACCCGATTGAACTTCAATCCACAACGAATTCACACGTTCCCATACACACATGCAATTGCAGAGTAGATTCGAAGGAGGCAAATCCACACAAAACCGGAGAGAAGATATGCACAGCGGAAGCTCAAAATACACAGAGAATTGAAAAACGAATTTCAATTCTGCAATCCCTCGTCCTCCTCCAATCAATCCAGAGTACATGTTCCAAGAATCACAACCGCGTTTACAACAACCCCGAACAACCAGAAACAAGTGTTCAACGAAGTATGCAGGAGTCTTCTTCTTCCTCCTCGCCACCTCATACCCCTGGCTATGGCTGCCGTAGCAGCAGTAACCCCACAGCTGTCACGTGCCAATCTGAACCAGCAACCCCAATGATAACAGTGCCAGCTCAGCACCCGCATGGAAGTGCAGCGCTGGAAGTCCTGATGAAGAAGGAGACAACCGATCCAGCACTTCGAAGAAGACGAAGTTCCTCGAGAGGAGGAACAGCAGATATGGCTGCCAAGTGGAAGATGGCAGCACCCAAACCCAACAACACAGCCCTGTGGAAGCTCTCATGCAGAGCCGCGAAACAGAAGCAGTGCGATCTTCAACTTCGTTTCCCAACCCCAGCTATGGCTGGGCTTCGAGGAAGAAGATGACCTCGCCCAAAATAGAGCAGCAGCGCTCCAGCAACAGACGGGCAGAGTTTCCCCAGCCAACAAAAACGTGAAAAGACCAAAACCAAATTCCCCGTCCGCTACTTCTACCCTCTGCCTAGACCTACGACGGACTCCAAAGGCAACAACCCAATACTCATCTGCATCTAGATGGAAACAGGGGGAAAAGGGGACCTAGACCTATGACAAGGCAAAAGGAAAAGGCTGAATGGCCTAAGGCTACCAAACAGAGACTAGTAGTGACAGACTTAGGGATCAAGTCCCATAGGGCTCAAAACTAACAAACAAAACATACAAATTACAGGTCACGGGATCAAGTCCCGCCAGGCTCAAAACAAGAAAACAAACTACAAAGCCAAACACTTAGTGTACAGCCCCACTGGGAAACTGCGATTTATTGCATTCTTACCCTCCTGGGGAGCGAGGACCCACGAGCTACATAACCAACTACCAGCCATATTGGCCGAGAGGTATTAGCTAGAGGATCACTAAACATCCATAGTGGTGGATCTCATAGGGTAATGGTGAGATTATCAGATTAGATTGATTAGTTGAATGCGAGGGTATTAGCTGGGTAATCAACTTCTGGGCAACCAATCAGCTTCTGAAAATCTACGGGTTGTAGCTTAGATTATCAGAGAGTGTTGGCTAGCTGAATGCAAGGGTATTAGCCTGGTAATCAGCTTATAGATAGCTAACAACATCCCGAAAATCAGATGATCAAGGTTTAGATTAACAGCATGGACCATCTAGTTGAATGCAAGGGTGTTAGCCTAGTAATCAACTTTGCTATAATCCATTAATTCTGAAAATCTGATTAATTTCTGTTAGGACTGGGTATCAGTTAGACTCCTCAACTGCTGATCTGTGTATTTGCAAGCGTGATACGCAGATTCTTCCCAAGAATAGGGTAGGATCTGACGAGATCTGTATATGGGGCTAAGCATAACCATAGTCAGCAATAATGCTTGAACTGACAGAATCATGTGTAGGGTAGGTCTATCTGAGTAGAGAGTCAGTCACAAACAGATTTGACTCTGGCCAATCAGGCTGAGACATTACTAGGACAAAGCCTAGTGGTTAAAAGGAATTTGCAACTCTATAAGTGAAATTCAGAACACTGTCGCTACTAGTGTGCGACTACAGAGAAACACTGAAAATCTGATTTTTACCCGAGAGAGCAAAACTTAGGACCGTGTAGGAGAATTTGAGGTAAGATCTGGACTAATCATACTCTCTCTCAAACACAGGTCATCCACTCCAATGAGTGCAGTTCAGTGTGAGAACATGAACTTGCTCAGACAATGAATGCAGCTCAAAGCATACACAGGGGATTAGTAAGACAAGGATTCACTGAAACTGACAATGAAATTCTTGTCAGACTGCAATCTGTCCATCAGCGGTGTTTGAGAAATGGGATCGGCCTGAAACTTAGCGTACTCATTCTCAAGCACAGAGGATGCACAAACAAACCAACGGGATCAATGAAGGAATCAGGCTCAAGGTAGCTATACCAGGAGGAGGTTTCCATCAGCTGAACACACACACAGGTAAGTTACAAACAACCAAACTGCACCTGATCCTTCTTCAACGAAAGGATACTCAGTTCAGCAGAATACACTGCTGACTGGGTCAGGTTAGAGCGTAGTGGTTGCCCCAGGAAGGGCAATACTTGACAAAGTGTTGCCCAGCACATCTGAGGCAGACACCGGCATCCTTCCTCTTTTGCCATAGCCCATCTGGGATACGCAAGTCCCTCCATGGGAGAGGGGAAGGATCCATGGGGTTAGCTGGATATTTGGCAAACTTGGGCAGATTTTGCTTCTGAGGTCCACAGGGGCGTTTGCCAAACCCCATAGGAGAGGAGGACCTTTGTCTCTGGAGCTGATTCGCGCCCTTCATTGCGCTTACCAGTTCCTGAGCCAACGTCAGAATAGCCTGGTCCGGGAAGCCTCCTGCACCTTGACTAGCTAAGGGAGTCAATCCTCTCTGGTCAAAGCCTGCAGAGTCTTCCACAGACTCCATCGTGTGCCACCTCCCTTTGCTCTTCCTCTGACTCTGAGAAGGGGAGGTGCTTCCCGCCTGGGAAGTGGACTGAATTTGGAGTTTGGCATCCAGATCCAAGGCTGCTCTGCCAAAGGCCTTCCAGTCCTTGTGACCTGCAGAAAATAGGGCATGTACATAAGCTATCGCGGTAGCCTGGACAAACAACTGCAACTTGTCCTGGTCTGACATAGATAACCCAGGTGTAGAGGTTAGCCTTTCCCAAACTGCGTAGAGCTTGGAGAGGGATCCCTGCCACTGTGACTGGCCTATCCTCACAAGCTCTGCAGCAGCTTTCTTGG